TTACATAAAATATGATTTGGARAATGTAATTTAAAACATTGAATTGACAGAAAATGACCCTCAGGTTCGACCAACTTTAGAATTTTGCCCCCTTGTGTAGCTGAGTTTGACATTCCTGCAGATTCTTGTGTTAGAGTAAGTTACAGTTTTTGCTTGCTCACATCTTAAAATGTTAAATTGAGCCTTTGTTTATATAACCATACAGTGAAAAAAATTCCCAAAGTGTTTTTAAATAATTATTCCTTAATATTTGTAATTATTTACCATATTGCAATACAAAAGTATTTCATGCTAATCCTACATTTTTTTCTAAATTTTTATATGTAAAAAATGGGTCGGTCCTGGCCATTATAAACTCCCAGGCTGAAAAGTTTTCCCACTCCACCCCTGGTCAGGAAGGACAGATCTGTACTGAACAGAAGCCCTTTGGGCAGGAAAAGATCAGCTCCATGTGTGCAGATACTCAACTTTCTGATCTTGTCAGAGACCTGAGTGGCTGACAGAAAACTGGCGTCTTGTTTTGTTTACTAAAACAAAAAGGATCATCCTGTTGTTCTTCATTTCTGTTAATCTCCATCCTGGTCCCCATTGATTTCATGTTTGCTTGCCATATTTTCTTACACCTGATTTTAAAGGCGCGTGTTTTGTATAGATTTATTTTTCGTAAAATCCAGCAGTAGAAAATTGTTAAGACAGAAGTGTCAAACTCATTTTCACTGAGGGCCACATGAGCATTATGGATGTATTAAAGGGCCAGATATTAATTATGACATTTAACTTCAACTAAACACAAAACATGTTCCTCGTCTTGTTGCTACCGCTGAGCACAGCTAACAAACAATAACTGGGCTCTATCTGGTATTTCCTGCATAGAAACAGCATTTTACACATTCTCTTATAATCACTGAAGATTACTGTGTGTACCACTGACTAAATGTGAAATAAATAATACAGAAATTCTTTTGAAAGTATAAGGAAGAAAAAGTTGGCAAACACGAGGAGCACTATTGCGCAGGTGTAAGATGCAGACGTGTTAGCTTGCACTTTCTGCGACTTTAAATAATATGCTAAATGTCATGACATAAGTGTGAGGATTTAGTAGGAACAGACCCAGGGCGCAGGCAGGTTAAAAAAAGGAACAAAAAGATTTATTAAATAACAGAAAATGCTGTTGAGGCAGCTCAAAAATCACTTACAGGTTCTCAAAAAACACAGGCACAAGGGAGACAAAGCTCAGGGACAAAACACAATGATCCGACACAAGACTGAGACAGGACAGGGCTTAAAGAGTAACTTACCCCAAAATTAACTTTTTTTAGCTGATAAACTGTCTAGAATGTGTCTAAAATGTTATATAGTACTGTTTCTG